TAGCAGAAGGCAGGTGTGTAAAAACATGATGTAATTTAATCTCTTCTCTAAAAAAGAGTGCCTCTATTATGTGCCCACCCTATGGCAGAAAAGCCTGGCTAGCCCACCCCCCTCGCCCTCCCCTCCCCCAAAATCCAGCTAACATGTTAAGAAAGCTTTGCCAAATAATTTTGAGAGACACAAATAATGAAATTCTCCTGCTCTTTGATCATAAATTGATATTTTCTTAGAAAGCAGAAGCTGAGGGAATCCTAATGGAAAGCATCCGATTTGGGGTCAGACAGACTAGGGGTGAATCCCAGCTCTGCCATTTTCTAGCCGTGAGATCTTGGGCAACTCCCTTGCCTATTCTAAAATCAGTTTCCACGTCTGTGAAATCCATTCGTTGGCCAAAGATTTACTGCGTGTCCACCATGTGCGTGCGTTGTTCATGGAGCTACGGGAGAGGACACAGCGTGTTTCCTGCTTTCACGGAGCACACATTTCAGTGGAGGTGGAGGCGAGGCAGACAATGGACAAATGATGTATCAGGAAAGGTAAAGGCTAAGAAAAAAGGGGCAGCGTAACGACACCGAGGGGAACGGGACGATGCGAGGGTGCTCTTTTCTCCTGGGTATCCTAGGAGGGCTTCTCTGAGGAAGTAAAGCTTTGGATGATGCAGAGAGAATAAGAGAACCCACCTGGGAGAGTGATTGTTATAGTTAATAATATAAGGATATAACATCCAGCACCTGGCACATAGTAAGCACTCAGTACATGCAGCTGTTATTATTACTTTATTATGACTATTATTCATATTAGCTGTAGGGAATGTTTGGATAAAATCCATTAGGAAGTTTGAATTCATGACATCCCTTTCATTTTGGGGGAGGTTATGACAAATCACAACTTCTAGGCTCTGTATTTATAACTGGTTAAAAAGAAAATTTCAACCTGGCCCAGGTTCCCGGGGCACTGGCAGCCAACCATAATGAGGGAAATAATAACTCCAGGCTCATCCTGCAGGGAGAAGTACGCTAAGTGTGATTTCTCAGCACCCAGCTCCCACCCAGGCTGATGGAGTTACTTGAACTATGAGTTTCTGCTGTCTAGAAAGGGCTCTGAGGGTCCCTTACCCCCGAGTATTGGGAGGTTGGGAAAGAAGGGCACAGAGAATCTTGCTAAGTAGAACTACATGAGACCTCAGGGGATGCTGAGAGGTCAGGGATCTGGAAACGCACTGTGTGTGAGTGAGACAGAGGGAGGGAGAGGGGAAGAGGGAAGAGAGACAGACACACCCACACACACATATCCTGACCTGGAATAATAATGGCATGAATTATTAAGAAAACCATTTCAAATGCCCAAAGGTACGTGTCCAAGTTTAAGAGTCATAGCTCTTGATTTTCAGTTCCAGCTCTGAAATAACCAGCTGACAGACATTGGGCAAGTCACTTTCCCTCTCAGCCTGTATCAGGTTTAAGGTCTCGGGTGGCAGAGCAAAGTAGATCAAGGTTTGATTCTTAGCCATGCATGATCCTGGGCATGTTACTTAACCTCTCTGAGCCTCATCTGTTCAATGAGCATTCTAACCAGGAACCACATCTCATGAGGTAGCTAATGCAGATACAGTGCAGCATAGTGCATGGGATATAGTAAATGCTCAATAAATATTAGATACTAGCGTTTACATCTGCCAAATACCTGTCCTGCCTTCCTTATTGGCTGTTCTAAAGATGAATCAAAGGATTAGATAAGAAAACACTTTGTGATGTAAATGGCATTTTATAGCTATAAGGTGTTATTATTAAATTATCATCATGATTATTGCTTTGAATGCTACGATACTGAGCAGGAGATATAGTTTCATAGAAGTGCTTCTCAATGTCTCTCTGGGTAACAAGTGACTGGATTTGAAAGGTTATTTTCCATGAAAAAAGGAAAAAAAATAGCCACATTCTTGCTTTGAAAAGCAGAGCCTCCCAGCACTGAAACAGAACAGGTTCATTACTCAGTGAGGATTAATTAGCTGTCGGGTATTATTAAACGTTCTCACTCTCAAGATCCACGTAGAACTGGAAACTATGAAAGTGAGCAAGAGGTAATCATAGTACAGAGAAGAAAAAAAGCCCCAACTGCTGGCAGTGCAAATTTCAAGAGCAGAGCATGTTAGTAAATTACAGTCTGATTAATATCATGTCGGCTCATTCTCTGTTTGGAGTCATTGTTCTGAATCTACAGTCTTCAGGGTTGCCTGGTTTTTTCTTCTTCTACAGGGATCAAAAAGGAAAGGAGGCTGGCCTTTTCACTGTTTGCATTGAAAGAAAGCTGAAGTGTGGATGTTTACACTGAAATGCACAATATTTGAAAGCCTAGGAAAGTAGACAAGGTGAAATCAGATACGAGTATTTACAGTATTATAGCAAACGTGTCTCCCAAGTTGGTACAATAACCATCAAAACGACTGAAAAGTAATAGAGGCTTATAAAAAAAATAGCTCAGAGGATCCTTAGAGATGATGGAGTCCAGTGACCACAGACCTCTTTGTCTCAACAACCAGGAGCTCATATTAAAAATGCAGATTCCTCTAGACCACCAAACTTGCTAAAGAGAATCACTGGGCTGGGGCCTGGGAATCTGCATTTGTAACTAGCACCCACAGGTGCAGAACCACTGACTGTGTCCAGTCCTGTGCTCAGCAGCTTAGAAACCAAGCTTGGAGAGAAGAACTGTGATCACTGGCCCAGGGTCACACAGATGGTTAATAAGAAAGTAAGAACCAGAAATGGGATTTTCTAACTCCCAGCCACACCTCAGGGCCCTCTTCCATGTTTGATATGTGAGTCCGCTTCATAACATCACTGTCTTACCTGGAGACAATCTCTGCTCTAGTGGAAACTTACAGATAGGCCTTCTCTCCTCTTCTTCATGGGGATGGCCTTCTCCAAGGGGCTAAACACAGAATATGGAACCCCACTGGATGCCACGGACAACAGGAATTCATAGTGGGGACTACACATGGCAGCTGAGAAATTCCATCCACATAGCAAACAAGGGCAAAGTAACATCTGGGCAGAAGGTCACGTTATAACTTCCCCAGTGGCATCTAATCCACTTGTTTTCCCCACAGAATTGCTCTTATTCCTTTTTGTATCACCAACACAGTGCTTGGCACTTAGTTGATATCAGTGAATAGTGTGTAGCATGAATACAACAGTATAAAAATTATGTGAAAAGAAAAATATGAATTTTCTCATACACATAGTCCTACTATCAGTAGGAGGTAATAACAGCCATGAAAATGATGATGATGATGATGATGATAGGAATACTAAACCAACAGCAGAGAATTAACATTACTGAGTGCTTTCTGTGAGTGAGACACGACAGGCTAAGCTCTTTATCTCACACAATATCATACTGAATCCCCTCAACAATCCTGGGAAGCAGTGACTATCATCCCGGTTATGAAGAGGCGACACTGGAGGCATAGGGAGTTCAAGTAATATGTGCAAGGTCACCAGCCAGAAAGCAATGGAGCCAGAATTCTAAACCAGGAAAGACTGACTCAATGTTCATACTCCTCACTGCTCTATCCTCTGGTCGCTAAAACCTCTGAGCATTTGGAGCATCAACCCAGTCTGATAAGGTAGACTTGTGGGGCAGTTCTCCAGGTTGAAGGCACAGCCGGCGAAAGATAACAGAGCAGCCAATGCTTGTTGGCTCAGATGGAGCGCAACAGAAGACCAGGTACCCATTAGTACCAGGTAGCCATTAGTACCAGATAAACATGCAACAGCCTGGGACTGTGGTCAGCAAAGAGTCCATGCTCAAAAAGCATCCGCTGAATAAGCAGATGAACAAACGAATAAATGAATGAATGAATGAACACATAAACAAGTGAGCTAATGGGGCACACACTAGTCATTCAATTCCCATAGCAGCTTGTAAACCTAGGGAGACAACCTCTTTTCCCCCCATGTACTTTTGTCTCCCTTCTCAATATTTGGTCTTCAGTAGAGCAGCTGGTGTCTGAAAGCACATATTTTACACAGTTTTGAAAGTCCCTTGGGGCTAGGGCTGGTCCTAGCATGAGCCTGCTTCACTACTTACCTTGAACACATCTACAACCAAACTCATCACTCAGTCCTGAACCACTTTAACCTATATCTAGAGAGCCTTCCCTTAAAAGTCCACTTTTAGAAATCCATTTTTAACATCATTTCCGTATGAGACCTTTCCTGGTCTCCCAGAACCAAATATAATTTCTCCCTCCTTTGATCAAACTGCAACTCTCTGATTCTCATTGTATTTATATTACTCTATTTAGTGTCAGAATCACTTGCATATTCATTCTACAAATCCTGCTTTCTTACCAGACTCTGCATTTCTAGAGGGCAGGAAGGAAGATTCTCAGACTAATAGTAGAGGTCATTTATTGAGTACCAGCCACAGAGCAAGGGCTTCTCATCCTCATTGCATTTTATCCTCCTAAGACCACAGGCGGAAGTATAAGGCTCATTGTTTTGCAGATGGAGAAACTAAAAATAACTTGCACGACTAAAGTTCAAAAAGTGACTGTGTGAGATTCTGGTTAAGTACAAGAATTTAAACCCAGGCCTGTTAGATTCAGAAGTTCGTGTTCTGAATCACATGACTCCAACTTTCCCTCTAGGTAGTCCCATTCCCTGTACCTTCTGTACAGAAGATGCTCAAGATATTTTAGATAATGCAAACAGAGGCTAAGAACATAGTAATGTATGGCAGTGGCCATGTGGGCAAGCACCCGGAGACAAAAGGAAGTGGGTGGATTTGTAGTCATCAGAGCTTAGCGCCTGTCCTGCTCCCTGCTTGCCACCAGAGACTCAGGAAGGTTGGGTCTCTGCTTGATCTCCCTCACTCGCACATTACCATTGCAACCTACAGCAGCAGCCAGCACGTGGCCAAACTTAGAAGCCCTTCCACTGACCCTGGTGGGCAAGGAGCTGAAAGATGGTGGCCAAAGCAGCCGCCAGGCTCACCCGCAAGGTTGTGATGGTGGCAGGATCCCGGAGCCGGCCTTCCTCATCTTTCAGATTGTAGCCTTCTGGCCTCTTATCGCGCTCGCTGACTTTCCACAACTTCACAGTTTTATCTGTGGAAGGCAACCAGAGGAAATCGAAATTGCAGTGAAAGAAAGCTTGTAAAGGAGTTTTTTAGGGGGTAGGGGGGAAGCAGGGAGAGGTGGAGATAATGATGGAAGGAATCGCTACAGAAGTTGGCTCAGGCTGAGGTCTTCAGTGCATAAATCTCATGTGATTTGAAGGCAGAGCTTGTGTTTCAAAACAAAAACATATATTGTGCCCAGACAAATAGTTTCGCTGACAATGTGCTGTTAAATCTATAGCTTATAGATTAATTTGATTCACTTAAGAAAAATATTTATTGAATATTGAATAATAAGAGTAGCCACAAATATGGAATTAATTATGTAACTATGTTAGCACTTTGCATGGAGAATTTATTTAAATATTTGCAATAACCCTGAGAAGTAGGTAATATTATTATCCCCATTTTAATGTCCCACCTCACTAAACACTGTCCTTACCATGACCTGCACCCCCTACTTCCTCTGTCTGCCCCACTCCCTGCCACTCCTTGTGATCCTGCCACACGTGTTCCTTATAGTTCCTTGTACACGGTAATCCCACTCCTGCCTCAGGGCTTTTGCACTTGTGCCTTCTGCCTGGAAAGCCCTTTGCCCCTCTTTTTCACAAGATTTGTTCCTTCACTTTGCTCTCTCTGTTTATGTCCCAACCTTAGAGGGGCTTTTCCTAACCAATACACATAGAAATGTTGTCCTCACCATTTTCGATCGCCCTCCTCCTGCCTTTTTGCTCCTCATAGTACTTTTTACTACCGACAGCTTAATATGTCTCCCTCACCAGAATGTCAAATCATTGGAGGCAGGGATTCTGCCTGTCTTGTTCATCACTACACCTCCAGCACCTACAACAATGCCTGGGACATAGTAGATGCTCAATGAATACTAGCTGGATGAATGAATGAATCTCATCTACACAGTGCAAATTGCTAGCAATATGCAGGGAAATAAAAGGGTAAGGAGATTCATCAAAATGCTCCTTTCTTCTTGCAGTCACCTGGGAGTCCCCGGCTGGAAACCACCTTTCTTGCCTTTGTACTGTCCCAGCACTTTGTACCACTTGCTGACACCTGTCATTCTCTAGAACATTAAAAAAGGGTGAGAACTCCAATGTCTACAGGGCTCCAACAGGCCCAGGGAAGGGGTGAACGGGGCTCAGGGCTTGGGGAGCTGGGGAGGCCATGCCCCACCTGCAGGCTTTTGACTCCATTTTTTAAGGAAACATGTTCTGGCCAAACAGATCATGTCCATGGACCGCATGCCTTTGTGGGTCTTCCTTCTCAGATTCTGCATTATTTGTCCTCTTTTTAACTTCTCTTCTGGAAGGTGGAGGCTCCCCTGCCTTCTTTGTATCCTCCTCCGTGCTTGCACAAGGTAGACTTTGGAACCAGACAACTTTCAGCCCCATCCCCACTCCACCTCCAGTGCATAAATTTCACGTCATTTGAAGGCCACGTGGACAAACACTGGGAGTTCCATGCAGTAGGCGCCTAACTAGTATTTACTGAGTAACGAATAAATGAGAGCACCAGATTTAGCAGGAAAAACAGCACAGAATGTCCAGTTGAACCTGAATTTCAGATAAACAATCAATCATTTTGTAGTATAAGTATGCCTCAAATATTTTAACCTTACAAATAAGGTGACTTAATTTCTCTATGCCTCAGTTTCTTTGTTTGTAAATTGGGGAAAACAGTGTCTTCCTCATGGGGCTCTTATGAAGATGAATGAACACTACGCGTAGAACGTTTAACCCAGTGTCGGGCTTCTAATAATGGCTCACAAATGGCAGCTGTTATTAGAATTAGCAAATTGGACAACCATTCTGCAATAATAGCATGTTGTTCTGACAGCGTTAGCTTCATCCCACGATGATGTCAGCACATCCTATTTCTCCTCTCTGTAGTCTGTCAGGAGAAAAGCTGCCCCTCTACCCTGTCTTATTAGGACTCCCTTTCTCTTTTGCCCCCTCGGCTCACTCCTCCATCTCTCCTCACCAAATGCCTCGTCCTCAGAGGTCTGAAATGCACCACATTGTGAAGTGGGCTTCCAGCAACAATTTGGCTACTTTAACAGATGTGTCCCTGTTTCCGAATATCTGGGGATCACTCGGGCTGGTCGTGTCTACTGGCACGCCTGGCAAGACTGCTAAGTGTGAGATTTGTGCACTCTCCCAGGCTTGTACTAGGACAGAAGGCGAGGAAGCCTTTTCCAGATGCTGGGTTGAATTTAGAACTTTCTATCTATACACTAACACTCGTCTGGTCCTATCCTTTCTGGATATCCTGCTGCATAATGAACTGCTTTTTTGGGTGAGAAAATGAAACATGGGCCATATTTATACAGTCACTTGATTAGCTACTGAACAGAAATCAGAGTAGATCAGCTACTGTGGCTTGGAGGAACCCAAATCGGTGAATTTTAACACCAAATATTTTCTATTGCTTGGCTTTGCAAAGTATCCCATCCCATCTGTAAAACAATTCTCCTCTTACATTTTTCTTATTATGAATGATAAATTGCTATATAGAGAAATAGAGAATCATAGATAAAACATGAAAAATAAAAATCACCTATAATCTCCCCAGTCAGGGACAATCATTGTTAACATTTTGCATAGATCCTTGTATTTTTTCTATGCAATTTTTGGGGAGGGGTATGAACCTATAATAATAGTGCATATGTAGATTTTGTGTTTTCTCATTTTATTTCCTTCTTTTTCTTACACAACTGGTACATGTATTTGCAGGAAATAAAAATGAACATAAAGTAAAAAATTAAAATCTCTCTCAATCCCATCAGAGATAACTATTATGAAAATTGTGTACAGCCTTTCATTATATTTGTGTGTACAATTATATAACTATTTTTAATAGACATAACATGCTACACATAGCTTATAATATGCTTTTTTCTTAATCGTATCTATCCATACCAATATCTATTCCTATAAATATATAATTTATAATGGTGAGAATTTGTTAATAGTTAAAGGTCTAATAATGGGAGATTTATTAGTAAACAATAGAAGAATCATATAAGGGAACGATATGCAGTCATCGAAAACATTAGGGTATTTTAGAAGAATATTTAACAATTAGGAAGATATTCCTCATTAAGTGTTATTATTATTAAATAAGAAATCTGGTTGTAAAACAGTTTATAGAATATATCACATTTTTGTTAAGAAACAAACAGATTTATCCATGCCTCTTTGTTTTTTTCTATAAAAGACTAATAGTGGTTCTCACTTTTACTATCTTCATTTTGTTTTTCTGAATTTTCTAATTTTTTAATAACGAACACATATTGCTTTCATAGCATGAAAAACAGATTAAGTATAACTTCACCTCTTATCATAGGGATTAAGACAGAAGTAGGAAGCTAGGTAAAGCAATGTGTTCTCGTACCGGAAATAATTTCAAGGTCCCGATTCACAACTGAATGTTGGTTTTATTTTTCATTAAAAATCATAAAGTTGGAAATCTATTTTAGCAGAATGTAAAAACTGCACCCAACTATAATGAGATAAGCACAATTTTTTTAAAAAAGATAATTGATGGTGAATTCAATCCAATTCCCCATGGTTGGGTTGCCTGGAGTCATTCCTGACTTTATTATCACACAATTTTTCTTGACTCCATCTCTTGAAGCTTTGTGGATAAAAAGTCTGAGGAACATGTGGCTGTTACTATGAGTAATGATTTTTTCTTTCTTCCTCTGAGTAGTTTATCATTACTTGTGGCAGCTTTTAAACACAATCTTATCATCTATCTTCATTTTCTCTTTTGTACAGTAATTCCAATTGTCTTCCATTAATTTTTGCATGTTAACCTATTTAGCTTAAGGGGAATTCTCAACCTCAATATTAGTATAAAAAAGAAAATCACATAAGAACATGGGAATTTTTCTCATCAGAGTCATTTTGAGATGCTGTTGGCATATGAAATAGCATCCCAAATGGGAAGATAATATCCTTGTTAATCAAAAAACTATTTAAAAACTCAATTAACAGAACATTATGCTATATAATTAATCTTCATTGCATTTCACTGATTTCTTTCCCATCCCACCCCCCCACAAAGCAGTTAATAAGTCTTTGAATTTTATTGTAATAATCAATAGACTAAATTTCATAATATAAAGTAAGCTAGCTATAGAAGATAATCAGACACATTTTCTCTGCCTGAAGTAATTAAATCAAAATCATCAGAAGTCTCTTTTCTTCTAAGTCATGCTGAATCTGAAGAACCTTTGAGTGAAACTTAAACAGCAAAACTAAAAGAAACTGAAACAAATTCATGTGGTCTGGCTTTCAAGAAATCAGGGTTGGAAAAAGTAAACAGAACAGTAAATACAATTATGAGAAAGAATTAAATGACTTGGAATCTGGAAAAACAGATGAGTGGAGATCTGGTCAGGTTGTGACAAGCTATGCTTGAATAACCCTAAACTGGCTTTTTCAGAATTGTCAGTTTTTAGATTTGTACACTGGCTTTACATTTGGGGGATTTTGGGTTCACGTGCATTAAAAACTTTTACCCCTTTTTTCATAAGATTAAAATAAAACTCATTGTAAGAACTTAGAAAATAAAAATACTAAAAGGAACACATTTACAACTAACTCATAATGCACATTCAAAGATTAATCATGATACACCTTTGAGTGTGTTTCTTTCCAGTCTTTAAAAATATTAATATACATTTGATCACATTGTATACATAGTCCACATTTTTTTCACTTGACTTATGGACATGATCCTTTCTTTTCAAATGCTGGGGATAGGCAAAAGCAAATCCCTTGCTTCTTGATTTATATTTAAATGTATACTCTTCACGGACTCACATAGAGGATGAAATGAATCATCATTCAGCTTTTTTGCTTGGGAGAGGGTTTTAATTTTTATACACTAATCCTCTTAATTGTTATGCTATTCAATTAGCACTCTTTAGCAGATGATTTTATTCTGAATTGTTTTGAGCAGAGATGGCTTCTTTCAGCAAGGATATTAAGAACCTGTAAGGTAGATAATTCCACTGAATAAAGGCTTATAGAATTAACATGGAATTTGGCTCTCTATTCAAACCCCAACATCCTCCCTCTCTGACCTATTTAGATCAACTCCCCCAAACCAACAAGTGGTATGAGAAGAGTAAGGAGGCAGAAAGAGAAAGAAACCATTTCTGATCAGTTCCTTGGTAGAGTGCCCGTCTCTTCTTGACCTGGGCTGCTAGCTGAGAACTTGATTGTCAGAGAGACACAGACATCTGCTTTACAAACCCCCAAATACATTCAGGGATTAATAACTTCTCTTCAGTATGCCAAACCCACAGGGACGGCATGTTGAGTTCCCTGGAATGTGTTCCCCAGAATAACATTCAGTGAATCTGAAGACAGGAAGTCACATTCCAAAAACACCTGGAAATAATTGGCATTAGTCAAAAACTGCAGATAAAGGGTCTCATATAATTCAGTCATAAATTTTGTTATTTTTAAAAAGAATAATTCTTATTTACTGAGGGCCTACTTGGTGCCAGGCACTCTGCTAGGCATCTTGAAAATATTGTTCCTAATTTTTTCAATAGCCGGCAAGGTAAAAAGGAAAATTTAGTCTAAGACAGATTTAAATATATAGTTTGGCTGACCATATTTCTGAAAACAGCAAACAGGAAAAGTCACCTCCACATACCATTAGTAGACAGAAGGAAGTAGGCTGCATTCTGCTGAGGGAGCCATCTTATTTTATTGATTTTTTCTTCTATTTCTAAACTCTTCAGGTAATCGAACTCGGGTTCATGGCTCTGGAATGTGCTGTAAACATTGTATTCACCCCTACGATGAACCTGATTTTTACTCTGTAGGAAGGAGAAAAAATGCACAAAAGATTACATCACATAAGCCAAGTGCAAAGTCACCAATTGCTATTTTTTTTGAGCAGAGTCATTAGGGGTAGGATGGGCAGGCCGTGTCAGAGTAGGATGAGGGAAGGACTATGACAGCCACAAGGTCTACTTTAGCTCAGTGGCCTCTAAACCATCTGATCCTGTAACTGCATTGGTAAATATTAGTACCTCCAATATACATACAGTTATTTATAAATTGTACACACGAACTTCCACACTAATATATGGTGTACATCTTAACATATACCTAGAAATAGAAGTTAAAATAGGACATGACTTTAAAATCAATATAAATTTAAAAAATCAATATAAATAGAAGTTCTAATAATTTCTTTCTGTACCCTAATGGACATCTCGGATACCCTTTGGAGTCAACCCATCCCATGCTGACGTCCACATATACATATATCAATCCCTTACAAAGAGTACAAAGTTGTAGCATCTGCACTTTTCATTGGTCTTTTAAAATCTGATCAGGTCCTCACAGAATTTGAGAAATGGAAATGGATAAAAGAGGCTCGGAGGTATTAAAATGACCTCCCCAAGGTCACACAGCTTCTAAGTAGCAGATCTGGGCATCAGATCTCTCCCTCCCCCTTTTTTTCCAACATGAGTAACAAAATAGACGGGAGCACAGAGCCGACATCCGCATCGTTGGGAGAACATGAGACTTTACCTCTGGCTTTCCCCTAGTTCCGATTACGCAAAGCACAAATGGCAGGAACCAAATAAATGATGAGAGAATGAAACATAAAGGAGAGGGTCTACAGAAGGGGGCAAGAGAGAGAAGAAAGGTGGAGAGGAGGAAAGAGAGGGTATGAAAGAGAGAAAGAGAAGAAGAGAAAAGAGTGAAGGGCGGTTTTATTCTAGGACTTGATTACCAAGAGCTTCAAGATTCAGGCTTTGCAAACTGTATTCAAAAATTCAAATCTAGGGCTTATTAAACATTTGTCATAAAAGCATGACTCTTAATAAAACGGTCAATTAAAAAATTTATATTTCTGGGTGGATATTGAACATCCAAACCAAAATCTCAACTTTCCGATGGATGACGGTGCTGACACCCAGGGGTTAAATATATCTGTGAGGGCACTGAGGTTCCTAGGAGCAAACTCAAGCATTGTGCCTCTTGAGAATTCATCCACAGAAGTGGGAAGCAGGCCGGACTGAGATGCTGTCATATGGCTTTGCTTCTTAAGCTTAGTTTTCATTTCAACCCCAAACCTCGTCATGAAGCCAAACACGTAACTGCATATTATTCTCCTGGACATTTATTTTTTATTGAACAAAACCACCCTCCTTTGGAAAATGTGTCCCCTTCATCCTACTAATGAGTCAGGCTTCCTAAATATTTCAGTAAATTAAAATAGGTGAAACCTAGAAATAGCTAATGGAAAACGTGGAGCGGAATATTACTGGCAACATGCTGCCTTGGGTAATTTATGCTAAATAGCTCCTCTGGTTCCTCTTTATCATCACTATGAACCTAATTGGATTTTTTTAAAAATTGAAGAAGGTTTGAAGATCAGCTTTCAAAGGACTTTAAATGTTGACAACATACTTGCTACTAGCGTGCTCGTGGCAGAGAGCGCCAGTCCACCTTAACAATAAATTTATCAGAAGGTTGATTTGCTACCATCCAAATCAGACTGTCAAGTGTGTGTACTATGTGCCAGACCAATTAGCACCAGGCAGCTCTGGAAAAGCAGGAAAAATTCCAGGTCACGAAGAGCCATTAGTTCCTACTTGCCAACCACATTTTCATGTTTCCAGGGCCAACGCAATAGGCTGAGTGCCTGATTTAATGCTGAACACTTGAATTTATACAGAACCTCAAGGGATTATGATGCCCTTATAGAAATTAATTGCAAATAATGTGCAATTACCAAATATATCACCTCTAAATGAGGCTTTCCTTTTTTGAGGGGAGGTGTAACACAAATGGCTGTGAGGCACAAAGCAGGCTTGAAATTGCCAGGGAAGTCTCTTGTGCAACCTCCCTCTGCATGGGCCTCCCGCCACGCTGTGCCGGGTGCATCTCAGAGGCAGGCGGGAGCAGATGGGAGAGTTCCTAGAACACAGACTGGCCTGCTGGAAGCTCCAGGACCATGCCAGGGAGGCCAGGGAAATCAAACTGGGCCATAATTCCATTCTGACAAAACTGAAGCAGACACCAAAAAACTCAACTTATATGAAATAGAGAAACAATTCCTAGTGGAACCCAAGTCTCAGGAAGCAATGGGCTTTTTGAGATTCACTGGAAGTTAGAAGTCCTGCTCAGAATGCACACAGCATTCAGCTTCAGGGACCTGCAGGTCACCTATAGAAAAGTGTGTGCGATACGCATTGCTCAGATGTCATTTTGTGGGATTTCACTGCCTTCAGCAGGGTGAGCTATCATTTTCTTTTCTACTGACCCAAGTTATCCTTTTCAGATCTATTGGCAAAGAGCTATTTTCTTTTTCTCCTACATATACCATAAGAGCACTTGAAATCAGGGGAGACTTAATTTCAATAGCTGGAGGATGAACCCCACTCCAAAAGGAGGAGTTATGCTCCACGAGCACCCATGAAATTTTGCAGGTCAGACGCGAAGTGAAGTCATTTTGAATGTGCAATGCCCAGGTTTGGAAAGATAAGGCCATGCACAGAAAAGGCTCTATTTTCAGGTGCTTTTATGAGCCAGAAGTTGGAACCATTGATGTTAATGACTTTTTGGCAGTTTTTAGTTTGCTAGAGAAGCAGCAAGGTTAAGGGTGACACATGAGGATTAAGGAACAGTAGGAGGCCTCCCTGAAAAAGAGAAGAAAATGGGCATTTTGCATTCACTGCCACTTACCTCCTGCTCTCGTTGAAATATTACAACCCGACCCCCCTTGTCCCCTGTCGCTAGTAATTCTCCCGTGTGGTTGAATTCTACCGTAGAGATAATGTCAGCTGAAAAGAAGAAGACAAAGGCAATTTAAGTAACTGCACACGATAGATAATAGACACACTTTTCTATGCATTTAAGGGCTTAGGGCTTCGTCTCTGCAGTGGAATTTACAAGGATTTTATTCTGTATTTTAAGTGCCCCTAGTAGTGGCACTTGGGAAGTAAATTTCCTAGATGCCCACACTGCACTGTGGGCTCTTGAAACATCCAGAGAGAAGAAAAGGAAAAAGCACATTCAGAACCTTTCATTTGGGGCAGGAGAAAACGAATTTCTTTATGGCTCAGGGAAATGGCAGTCTTCTTTGATAATTTCTACCCACCACAGACTCTTTACCCACTCACAACCTTTTGCATTCCCCTTTCTTCTACACTGAGAAACTTCTCTAAACAGGTTTCAGTGGCGGCTATTCAAAGGAGGGCTGAGGACTGTGATGAAGCAGGGTGGGGATGCTTGAAACTCAGACACCAGAGATGAAGGGATGGAACACAGAGAATTCATCAGGAAAACTCTGTGAGTTGGAAATCCAAGGAAGGACCCCACAAATGCTCCAGCTTGACCCATGCTCCCTGTTTTCTGGTGAGCCCAAGAGACCCTTCCGGAAGAGCACGGCTTTATTCCAACCCCAGGAGAAGGGTGCTGAGAAAACAGGGTCAAGAGGTCAGAGGGGAGAGGGCAATTTGTACTCTGTATTTCTAAATGGAGAAAATACACAGACACCAGGAACTCAGATCACAGATAATTGCTGAAGGAATGCCAGCCTGCCAAGTCTTTCTTCAACTCTGGTTACCCCCGGAGGAACAAGGACAGGTAAATTACCTATGATTGGATTTATTAGGGCTATTTTTAGAAAAATGTCAGAGGTTAATTCCTCTGCAATTATTCCCCCGCAGGGCTCCAACAATTGCTACCAAGAGTGCAAATGAGTTAAAAAAAAAAAGAAAAAAAAAAAAACTAGGCAAGGGAATTATGACTATGGCCTTTGACAGAGGAACATTCTAAAGATTATGTCCATGGGGTGAAAGCAAAAGGGAAACAGTGAGGTGGAAAACTAAGGCAATTACCCCTGAATAATTCAAACCTCAAATCTTACTTTAATATCATTATTTCAGGGTTGTCTTTGTATGCCTGATTTATTCAGGTAAGTAGTGGCAAATTCTCTACTTTACATATAACTGTCCTTTTCCATATATGAAAATGCTTCTAATGGTCACTCTTTGTGCAGAGGGAAAAAGAATAAGGCATAAGCCATAGTCACTTTCAAGTTATGCAAATGCAAAAGTATAGTTCACGATTTCTTGTTTTGGCCTCTTAGATAACTGACTCCAAAGGTAGCAAATTAAAACCCTACAGGGCCACAAGGTGAAGTAGAAAGCTTGTGTCTCCTCTTAAGGGATAACTGGCTGCTCAGCTTAAGGCAACTCTGGCCATGAAATACTCTATGTGTTGCCAGATATTGTGATGTTTTTAAAAGAAGCTGGCAATCCAGATTTTTATGCAAAATCTCTTCAGTTTTATATATTTTTTTCAATGCCATGATATGTAAAAAATATAATCTTGTCTACGGGCTGAATACAGTTTGTGGGTCACCCATTTCTGACTTCTGGTCTGTAGAGGCTTCCTTCAGGAAAGGCCACCCCATTCCTTAGTGATGATCTCAATGGAAATCTCATGCATTCACTCAAGAAGACCCCTCCAAGTAGATACTACCTTTAGGAAACACAGAATAAGCTATGTGGTTACTCAGTTCCTGATGTAAGTTTAGAAGGCCCATTTCTATAACAAGGGCCCATTGAAGAGTAAGAAAGCCCAGCAAGGCTGGGAAGCCAGCCACCTCAGGTGAATTATTTGACCAGTTTCCTTTGTTATAGTTGGTGCATCTTAGCAAAGCACTCTCACGCACAGAGGAGAGAAGAAGACTGTTTAATGTTGGCTGTTGCCTCGGGAGGCCCTGGTTGAAAGCACTCGAGTGCTAGGATACACTTCTAACATCAGCTACTGCTTCTGGCTTTTCAATGAGTGCTTAGCAATACGGTCATTCATGAAGCTTCCTGACTAGAGTAGAACCTAAAGCAGATGTGGCTGTTTCTTTTCACTTTCAGGCTTCCGTCAGGTACTAAGGAACGAGTCAAAGCTCTCAAGCTGCTCAAGACACAAATGCCTTCCAGAGAGAAAGAGGAGTGGGAGCAATGAGTGGGTGGTGGGTAGGCCAGGCCTGGGCGTTAACAGCTCCATGCTCATGTCTTTAGGGCTAAGATTCTGGTTAAGGGCAGTTTACACCCTTCCACTCGGCAGCGATGTTAACACAGACCGTAGGTTCTAGGTGGGCTCCTGGGTGCGTGCATCGAGAACCAAAAGATGGGCCTTCCTTTTGGTGAAGTTGAGTATCAGGAGGAAGAGTTAAGTAGTTTTTTCCAAGGGCAGCCTCTGGGTCAGTTTCCAAGAAAATGTTACTCCAAGGGAAACAAAACTCACTCCCCCAGGGATGACATTCACACTGTCTTTTTTGCCCAACTCTCTGTGTAAACGTCTTCCTTCTCCCTTTAAGATCCACACAGTCAAACAAGGTAGGATTCAAGCTCAAGTCTAAGCCACGTGATCCAAGCCAATATTATCAGAACTCTGCATTATGGGATATCAAATATCATCCCAGCTAATAAAAATGTCCCCTTTGTTTTCCAAAGGTTATCATTATTTGTGCTACGTCTCCCTTAAGAATCTTGTAAGAGAAAGGGTGATGGGCATGGCAGGATTCTCAAATTCCTCAGTCCTCCTGCCAAGACCTTACGATTATTTTAATCCTGCCAGCCAGCTGGTCTGTATATTAGGTTGTTTGTATCTAGCTACTGTCTACGGCCCTTCAGAGCACATGCATTGCAGCTCACATTAATACCTGTTTTGAACTTTCATGTTTCCTGACTCATTTATCATTACTAAGCCAGTAGGTGTAGCCACAATACTTTACCGCCCCATCCATCTCTGCAAATCTTCATCTATGACTGTTTAATAATTGATGCGAAACTCATGAATCACCCCACATTCCAATAGCAAGATGCTGAAAGTTCTGATACAAGTACTCTTGTGTTTACAACATGCTTTTGGTAGAGCAGGTGAAACTAGGAAACCGCGCTGCTCAAGACAAAATAACTCTTGTTGAATATAGAACAGGATCTGGCAGTAACAATAAACCAGCAAACTTAGAGATAACTTCATCTGAAATCACGGTCAACAGAAATCAGTTCATCAAGTTCAACATGACTGTCGCCTTAAAATGACAACTCATTTTATTCAATGCCCGGCCAATTCACGCTGTTATGCAAAAAGCTATCAACTTAAACATTTTCCCTCTGTTCTTTAGAGATGTGGGCAAAGTGCACATTTTTTACTAAAATAAAAAAATAGAAGCCAAAAACAGTTATAGAGGTCAAATCTAGTTAATGTAACTTTTTAAGGAAAGCTTGGGAGGCATGACGTTTGCTCTGCTCCACATCTGTTTGTGCCAATTTAATTTCCACAAGATGGTGGCCTGGTAACCCCATTTCTAGTTCAACAGCCACTGCAAAGACTGAGTTTTTCGTTTTTAAAACCAATCTCAGCCTTCAACAAAGGTACCAGACTAGTAATTTCATACACAAAGTCTCCATTTACCTGCATAATAGAACTCGACTTGGCAATTATATTCATGTGACTGTGAGGCTCAAGAAATGGAGGGATCCCCTAGTTCACGCCCTCATCTCCCACAGCACCATGCTAGGCTGGAGTCTATGCAATGCCAGCACACTGGGCTGAGTGTAATTATCAGGCCGTGTACAATTCAAACAGGAGCGTAACTGTCTGGATAAAATGAGGGCTCAGTTTAGACTTAGAGAGGACCTAAATCCAAACCCTCTGATGGGACAAGATCTTACCGACCAGGTCAGTGGCGCTGGACTCTCAGCATCCATCTTAGTGACTGAAATAAGCCTATTAAATGTTTTCTCTTTCGCCTAAGAAACATATTGTAGATAATACTATAAAGTCATTTACCCTACTTGGAGCAGCTGACTAGTTCTGCCCACTCAATCCTTGGCTTTCTCCCTGATGATCAGGTTGGATCTAGGCACAGTTTTCTGTTTCTTCAGCTAAGGACAAGGACATCAGCAAGGATAGGAAATAGGTTTCAGAGCGATGACAATGGTAGAATGGTGGTACTTGCCAGAAAGTTTGTACTGAGAAGGATTTTGGAGGTCACTTCCAGTGGAAGTGCTGAGATGAACTGGCAATGAGTCCCCCAGCGGGGAGGCAGCACACGTGTCCTGTGTCATCACTGCACAAGGGCTTCCAGCTCCACCAGCAATGACTTTGTGGGTCATTAAACAAACAGGAGATTCTCAGGCTTCCCAGTGGGAATTAAAATGACTCCTTCCATCTACATAAAACTGCGGACTCCTTGCATTCTGGTTCACAGTCCAAAGTCAGCATCCATTTTCTCAGATAAGGTTTTCTCTGGTAAATTTTGATAACTAAAATAGTGTGTTGGAGTGCATTTTCCACCAAAACAGGGGGAGAAAAAGAAGTCTGGGCATGGCCAAACAAGATATGCCCAAATACTGCTACTGGGACTATGACACAAAGGCCTCAAAAAGATGTTAATAAACTGTAAAATTTTCAAAAGAATCAGGCAATAAAACAGTATGTGTCAAATGACTGCAATTTTGTTACAGTATTTTCATTTTAAAATATCTTTTTAAACCGGTAAAGCAATATACTATTACTAAAACTTCCATTAATACCAAGATGGTGCTTAAAATATAAAATGAAATCACCCTCAAAGATAATAGTTAACTTCTATAAATACAAACACACAAATATTCACACGAAAAAGTCTGTCAGGGAGTATCCAAAATGATATTGCTTTAGTGTAGGATGTGGATGATTTAATTTTTCTTATAGTCTTTTTCTAATTTTTCAGTATTTTCTAATTTTTTTTTACCATGACCATAAATACTTGAACAACTTTTAAGCT